GTAGAGACGGGGTTTCACCATATTGTCCAGGATGGTCTTGATCTCTTGACCTCGTGATCCACCTGCCTCGGCCTCCAGAAGTGCTGGGATTACAGGCGTGAGCCACCGCACCTGGCATCAAATATCTTAATGAAGAAACAGCTTAAAATAATTATCTGTTCTCTGACTTGACTTCCTCGCCATCTACTATTTAAACCTAAACAATCTTATCTCTTATTTGTGACAATCACTTTCTCAGAGTTTCTCCAGTGAGACAGTATGAGATGGTTGGGAGTGCCGGCCCAAACACCAGATTGCCTAATTTAAAGATTCGTTTCAAGGCCGGGCGCGGTGGCTCAAGCCTGTAATCCCAGCACTTTGGGAGGCCGAGGCGGGTGGATCACGAGGTCAAGATATCGAGACCATCCTGGTCAACATGGTGAAACCCCGTCTCTACTAAAGATACAAAAAATTAGCTGGGCATGGTGGCGCATGCCTGTAATCTCAGCTACTCAGGAGGCTGAGGCAGGAGAATTGCCTGAACCCAGGAGGCAGAGGTTGCGGTGAGCCGAGATCGCGCCATTGCACTCCAGCCTGGGTAAAAAGAGTGAAACTCCGTCTCAAAAAAAAAAAAAAAAAAAGATTAGTTTCAACACTTCCTCACCCTGGAATCTTGGACAAAGTTACCTAATATTGCTACAACTCAATTACCTCCTTTGTATTATGAAAATTGTTGTATGGATTAAATGATTAATATATGTAACATTGCTGATGATATTGATGACCTTTATAATTTATATTAGTACACAAATACATATGTTTTAATCTTAAATTTCCAGTTGAAGGCTTATAAAATTGAAGTGAAAGTGGCAGAACTTTAGCAGAAGTTGGCACAGCGTTAAATCGGCCAGATGTTAAAATTCTTTGTTCTTTCACAGCTTGCCCAGAGACCAATTCAGGAAATTCTTATTTGAGCAAGAAAATACTTCAGCAGAAGATGGAAAAAAATATAGCCTCAGCCAAGACAAGAGCAAAAGCACAAAAAATTGTCCATCACAGCTGCCACATGATTATAATACTTGTTGAATTAAATAAGCAGGAGGCCATTGCCTAAGGCTATCTCTGTACTTTGAGTTCCTGTGTAGCAAACTGCAGCCTGACTTAGGAATATATTTTTTGTAACAAATAGCTGAGTTTCAGCCAATCATAGGCAGCCAACTAATCAGAGCATGCCCAAATATGATTAACACCTAGCTGTAGTCAATCACATGATTCCTCTGCTTTGCTTCTCTGTCCTATAAAAGTTTGCTGCTCATGCTGCTGGGTGGAGCTCTCTGAACTTCTTCTGGTTCTGGGTGCTGCCCAATTCATAAATCATTCTTAGCTCAAATAAATTCTGTTTAATTTCTGTTCTAAAGATTTAAAAAATAATATTCAAAGTTACGGGAATATGCTTTATAACCATAAAATGGTTATTATTCGTTTCCTTTGTAAATCAGTTTATGACACCACATTAATGAAATTGCTTATCTAATAGACATCTCCCATTTAACATGTTCGAAGCCTAATTCTTATTCCTTATTCTACCCCTACCTATTCTTTCCCATTTCAGTTTTGGCAATACACTTTATCCAATTGTTCAAGCTCCAAATTTGAGAGTCACATTTGACTTCTCTCACTTACTGCAACCATCCATCAACACATCTTATTGGCTCAAGGTTCAAATTGTAAACACTTCTTGCCACCTCCATTGCTACCATCCCAATCCAAGTGTACCATATCTCACCCATCCTGCACTGATAATCTTCTAACTAACCTCATTGTTTCTGGTCTTATCTCCTATAATCTGATTTTCCCCACAACAACTAGAGGATCTCTTTAGAGTTTAAATAAAATCATGTTACTCTTCTAATCAAAACTCTTCAATGGATTTCCCTCCATTGAAAGTTAGATTTTACATACAAGTCCCCTCTAAATCTAGGTCCCGTACTTCTCCAATCTCATCTGTTCACACACTTCCCCATGATATGGTTTGGATTTGTGTCCTAACCAAATCTTTTTTCTTTTTTTTTTTTTTTGAGATGGAATCTTGCTCTGTAGCCCAGGCTGGAATGCAATGGCACAATCTTGGCTCACTGCAACCTCTGCCGGCCAGGTTCAAGTAATTTTTCTGCCTCAGCCTCCCAAGTAGCTGGGGAGCTACTTGCCACCATGCCCAGCTAACTTTTGTATTTTTAGTAGAAATGGGGTTTCACTATGTTGGACAGGCTGGTTTCGAACTCTGGTGACCCACCTGCCTCAGCCTCCCAAAGTGCCAGGATTATAGGCGTGAGCCACCATGCCTGGCCTTTCCATCCAAATCTTATGTAGAATTGTAAACCCCAATGTTGGAGGTGAGACCTGATGGAAGATGATTGGATCATGAGGGTGAATTTCCCCACTGATGTTGTTCTCATGATAGTGAGTGAGTTCTCATGAGACCCAGTTGTTTTAAAAGTGTGTGACACCTCCCCACTCTTTCAGTCCTGCTCCTGTGATGTAAGATACCTGCTTCCACTTTTCCTTCTACCATGAGTAAAAAGCTCCCTAAAGCCTTTCCAGAAGGAGATGCTGCCATGCTTTCTGTACAGCCTGCAGAACCATGAGCCAATTAAACCACTTTTCTTTATAAATTACCCTATCTCTGGTATTTCCTTATAGCAATGCGAGAACTGACTAATACACCCTACCTCTCTATTCCAGCCACAGTGGTCTTGTGCTGTTCTTTGAGCACAACACTACAATTCTGTCCTCACAGCCTTTTGTACTCACAGCCCCCTGTGCCTTTATTCTTCATCCAGGTATTTGAATGGCAACCTCTTTCCTTCATTCAGACGTCTGTCCTCATTTCCTGTCTTTGGGGGCCTTTCCTGAGCACTCTCTCACAGATAGGACTGACATTGGTCTCTATCCCCCTCCACTATCCCACTTTCCATATAGCACTTTTCACTACCCTAATATGTTCTAGTGGGGAAGAAAAATAAATATAAGCTTCAGGAACATAAGGACTTTGAAGTTTCTTTCACTCTATCCCTAGCACCTAGAAAGTGATTGGCAAATAGTAGGTGCTCAATATATATTTCCTTAACAAAAGAAGGCATTGTTTTATGGTTTTAAAGTGTGAAAGAATATAATATCATATTTAACTCAGATGCCCCTTCTGATAAGATATAGGGATTTTAGTGTAATATTCTTCTTAAATGCTTGAATCACAATTGCCTTTCCTGTCAAGAAATACAGTTTATAAAATCCACAATTTTTTATTATCCAAATATCTAATCCTAAATTTTTTTAATAAATAAAAGAAGTATTTATTTATGGGAAATAAATAGAGTTATTTATTTCCCATAAATAACACTGACAAAAATGTCATGACAAAATCAAGAGTCACAATGTTCAGAGCCCCTTGGGGCCCTGCCTGTCTGAAAGAATCTAGGACTATACAACTTAAATAGAAAGTGGAAAATCTGCTTAATATTTTGAAGAAATAAAGAACTTAAAGGTCAAAAAAAACTATGATTTTTTTTAAAAGCTGGCAACATTGTTTGATATTTGTTTTCTTCTTGGTTGTTACTGTAAAACAATATTTGAATGAAGAATAATTATATAAGTCTAAACTGAAATAAAATCCTAAGCCCCCCATTGACCAAATAGAACCCCTCTTGGCCAAGAAGACTCTGAGAAAATGTTAAAACTGAGTTCCCTGCCATAATAGGATGAGAGGTTAGATATGCCTCATTATATCCTCTTTCTGTTGTAGTTTAGGCACAACTGACCAGCATTAATATTAAAATAGAGATCATAAGACTGGCAAAACAGATGCTTGGTGGCAATAAGGTATCAAATTACAGCAGGACCGAAGGCCATCCCAGGCAAGGGTTAAGTCATGCACCCCTACACTTAAAGAATAAACTATGTTTTAACTGCCACAAGGTTTCTGTTTTTCTCTAGCAGGTAAACAAACACTGGCCTTGAGATAAGCAATAGTAAAACAAGGAAGCTCACCACCAGACACTGGCTAACTGACCCCTGTTCCACAAGCCATAACTACAGCTTTGGTTGAGCAAGAGACTGATTTCAATAACTTTCTCTGATAAGAAGAGCACCAACCATGAGGTGGTTCTGGACAGTTTAAGGGCACTGCTCTCTTGAGTGCCTTTGTGTTCTAAAACATTTAGACGTAATAGGGCATAATTGTAATGCAGTTAAATGTTAAATCTCTAGGCCAAAATGAACATTAATCATATGTTACATTCATGTTTGTTCAATTCACATGCATCAGAACTACCTTCATAAATACTCATAGCTTCTCCTATAACCTATGAATTATGCATGGTTAGCCAACTTTTTCAGCATAAATTTCCCACCTCAGCCTCTCCTTCAAAGTACCTGCCTCTCTAGGCTTCCAGCTGTAACCTTTTCTTCTCCTTTCTAGATTTATAAATTATGTGTTTTTTTAATTAACATAAGCAAGGATTTGTAGGCACTGAGAAACCAAATTATGCTTCTTAGTGCTAATATATCAAGCCACAAAGCAGTGCTAATCATGCCTAAATGCTCTAAATAGCAACCCTAATATTCTCATACTCATCTGTCCTTTGCACTGCCCTGCTTTGCTCAGATCAGCCATGGGGAGACAAACTTGTGATGACAGCCTTGGGAATAGAATCAAGGCCATTGCCTGTGGCTAGGCCAATTAAAACATTGCCAAGATAGTGAAGTGTCCAATTGTATACATTTAGGTTTTCGTGTCAGAATTGTATATTTTATCCTGTTGGTGTAAAGACTTAATGTGTTTTGTGTCTTAAATCGAAACTGGATTAGTTGTGGCACTTTAAAATTTGTCCCCCGAGTACATTCCAATTTGAATCATTGCAACCAAGTTTGCAAAGATTGTTTCAAATACTTTCAACTGGAAAAGTTTATTATTTGAACTCTAAAAATGAACAAATTAATTCACAAAGGCAGAGACATTAGAATGGTGGGTGAATTATCTTTATTTGGTCTGTGCATTCTGCTTCCAATCTGGGAATTTTCCCAAGAAAACACTGAAATACTGTCAGAATTTACATGTGCGTTTATATTAGGCTCCAACAATCAGATTCAGTCTTTTTCAAAATTTTCACTTGCATAGCCATTAAACCAGTGGCTCAAAAATCCATTTAATTTTCCCTAGTTCCCAAGACCATTTCGATGCGATGATCTCTTTTGGCATATCTTCCCAAGAGATTGCTAGGTTTGCTGTGATGGTCCATTTCCAGAATCTGGCAGCAAGGCAAGAACCATTAGGAGGCTTTGAAATGTAGACCTTATAAGTAGGGCAAAGGCAAGGAAGACGACTGCAGAGGGAGAATGCCAGAAGCATTGTCGAGTGGATGAAAGAGAAGGAAAATTTCTACTTCACAAAAACATTTTAAAGAGACAGTATTTGGGGATAGTGCTGCCACTGAAAGACTCACAACTGAAAATGTTACAACAGGATTCAGTAAACAAATTCAACTCCAAATTATCCCCCAGACAATCATTGCAGAATCCTCCAGGTGGCAATTGAGTGCATCTGGGGATTTCACATCTCCCTGTCTTTCGTCACTGTCAATACTGCCACAAAAACACTCTCATAAAAAGGGGCTAGAACTGGATCAGTCTCTAAAACACCACTCAGCGCACCCCACCCTCAACAACACGGGTCCCTAGGGATGCCCAGGTGGCCACCCGCCACTAGAAGCTGGCGTGGCCGCCGGCGCCTGCGATTGGCTGCCTCGGGCACATCGTCCCGCCCCGCCCTGTAGCGCCACCCAGGTTTCCGTTGTCAAGGACGCGGCGTCGGTTGATTGTCAAGATGGCGGCTGCGGGGTTGCTGCCGCCCCCTCTGCTATTGCCAGGCAAGGTCGCCGCTGCCTCAGCTGCCATCGCCACTACAGGCACCGGTGCCGCTGCGCGGGAGCTAGGGCTATCGCGGCCAACCCTTCCGTGACGCGCGGTCTGAGAGACGGAGTGTAGGGAGGGGCCGAGCAGGAGGAGGAGGAAGCCAGAGCTGCCATGAGGGAGGCGCGGAGGTGAAGGATGCTGTCTGGGAGGTCCGGAGACCGGAGCGCGATCGGGGGTCTAGGCACTGAATCATCGAACAACCTCGACAGAGCCTGCCTCGGCCCTCGGGAGAGCGGCGGGCATCACCGACCTGGCGCTTACCTGTATCCTTCCCAGCTTGTGGCTGCGATGTTGAAACCGGGGCCCATCTCTTTTCCAATTAGATTCCCATTACATTTGACGCAGGGTGATCAAAAGTAGCAAGTCATCTTAGTGCAGATATTTGCCTTAGCAACTGACGCGGCTCACCTTAGACCTGAAATTATACCATTTTATCTAATTCTGTGGCTGCTTCCCCTGTTATCAGGGTAGGATACCACCCTGTTATCCTACTCCCATTCTTCAACTTTGTAGCGTTTTTGTGAATTTTAAAATACATCAACTACGTATTCTATGGGGATTATTTTTTACCTTCTAGAATTATGCCATTATATTCTTTACTTACATATTAACTACTTCCTGATTTATCGTACTACTTAGAGAAACTGCACAAATAAGTAAAATGTTTTGCTATCTTAAAGAGTCCATTTTAACAGTTATCCTAAGATAGCCCTAAATCCTTTTATCAGAGCCGCTGAAGCCTACACAATTTGGTACGTTGTTTTGTTTTCCATCTCTGCCCAGTCTGTTGTCAGAGTGACAGAAAGGAGGAAATGAGAAGCAGGGGACCTGGACGCTTCACAATCTGGATTATCTCTGACTTTTCTCTTAAGAGTTGGTTAAGCCCAACTTTGATGTTACTGTTGGTTGCACTGTAGAAAATGGAAAGAGGAGAACTATTTTGTTCTCAAAATCTGTAAGTTATATTTATTCTTTAAGAGATTGTTATGATTAGAATTTAACCTTCGTATTCCCAAAGGATTTGATTGGCAATGATGATGTTGGTAATTATCTTCATTACTGTCAGACATGAATGTCTTCTCTTTCCAAGTTAACCCTGTTTTCTTATCCCCTTTGTCTCCCAACTTCTAGGATGTTCTTTGTACTCTGTTACAATTTTAGCAGCAAGTCAACAATTTGTATTGAGTGCCTGCTCCTTGGCTGACTCTGTTCTATGTTCTAGGGAGACAGATCTAGTGAGGAAGACACATATGTATAGAGCTTCACTAAAAGTAAAATATCTCTCCTACGATCCTGCTTTCTTCAGGCTTCCATCCCTTCAGTCTTTTCTTTCTTGGGGCAAGTTCTCAAAATGGTAGCCTGCAATAGCAGCTTCTAGTTCCTCAGATCTATTCATTATTAACCCTATTCAGTTTGGCTTTTGCCCTTGCTACTCCCCAAAACTTCCCTCCTAAAGGTGTACTATGAAGCGAACACAGTCATTTTCTGTGTGGATTTAATTCTGGCCCCTTGATGTTATATTTTCTTGGACACAACTGCTATTACACTGACCCTGATTTATCTCTAAGTCAGAAAATAGGGAAATATGGTAAATGGCTCATTGAGAGTGCATTTTCTATTATTTTCATTAATAAAATGGTTGTGGGCTTCATTTTTTAAATTTTATGTGGTATAAATTTTGATACAAATGCCAAATAAAATATTCATAAATAGAATCCAGCAATACTTTGAATGAAAGTGAGCAAATAGACTCTATTCCAGAATTAGAATGACATTTTCTATAAATAAATATAACACTAAAAAAGATACTTAAAGGCTAAACGTATAGTTAAAATTAAACAAATTATAAATGATCATTTTAATAGATGACCAATAGACTGCTAAAATCCAGCAGCGTGTGTGTATGTGTGTACTGGTTTATGTATTTTTTTGCTAGTTTGTATATGTGTATATATAAATATATAAGTTTAGATAAAAATATTTAAAGTGGAACAGAGGAATTATTTTTGAACATAATAAAGATTATAACACTAAATCAAGAACATTATGTTTACTTGTTGGAAAAATGCTAAAGCACCTTTTATGTAAGTTTATGTGGAATGTTCTTTTTGTCTGTAATGTTTCCCATTGGATACCTAGTACAGAGTAGGTGCTCAAATTTACATGACAAAATGAAAAAAAAGAAAGAAAACAGTGAAAGGACCATTGTCTTAAACTAAGCAAGTATTGTGGTAACATTTACATTTTGATTTTCAAATATCAACATGATACTTGGAGGCCATCTGGCTTTATGTTGAAGATGTTTTCTCACTGGAGTCAGAATTTTCTGACTCTAAATTTAGATTATAAAACAACAAAACCTTATAAATTTTAATTAAAATTAGCTAAAGTTCTATCATTTCAATCTCTTGTGAGAGTTCAAATAGAAATAAAGATTAAAAAAAAAAAACAGTAAGATCTCTCATGTCCCCTTCATACCTGCCTTTTTTCCTTCATAAATATCTCCAGTCTTCAGTGGTTCCATTTCATCCTAGCGCCCACCTTGCCACTCCTTCTTTCTTATCCAGTTTATACCCTATTCTTAACTATTTGAACTTTCTTTGTTTTTTTTGAACTTTTTGAACATCTTTGGCTATTTTTACCCCAATCATTCTGCCTCAGCCACTCAGTAATTATTATAGTCCTGCTCCTTTACTCCTTCATGCGAATAATAATAATGCTGTCAAAGAAAAAAGTAAAAGAAAAGAGAAATTCGATTATAGAGGTGAAAGTAACTGATTTGAAGGCTAGTAGGCAAAAAGTATGGTACTGAATTCTGCTTCTTTGTCCATTGTCTAGAATCATCTTTATGGCTTTAATCAACCTGTCTTCACAATATGCTCCTTACTCAGTGCTAATAACTTGACAGGATTACAGAGAATGGCCTTTAATGATGGCCACTGAAGATTGATGGTTTTCAGCTTCACCTAAACAGGAACAGGGTTCTTTCTTATTCCTATCAATGCCTCTGCCATACCTTCTACCACACTCAATGGACTCTTACTACTTCATAAGACCTGGATGCCGTGAACTCCCTCAGGTCTCTTCCGACAAACAGCACAAACTGACACACTCCCACCCACTTGTCTTTTCTCCCCAAGGCTCAATGATGGGATATTACTTTTACTGTAGAAAGTGAAGGCCGGGCGCGGTGGCTCAAGCCTATAATCCCAGCACTTTGGGAGGCCGAGGCGGGTCGATCACGAGGTCAAGAGATTGAGACCATCCTGGTCAACATGGTGCAACCCCATCTCTACTAAAAATACAAAAAAAATAGCTGGGCATGGTGGCGCGTGCCTGTAATCCCAGCTACTCAGGAGGCTGAGGCAGGGGAATTGCCTGAACCCAGGAGGCAGAGGTTGTGGTGAGCCGAGATCACGCAATTGCCCTCCAGCCTGGGTAACAAGAGCGGAACTCCGTCTAAAAAAAAAAAAAAAGAAAGTTAAGTGAACCCATTCAGCTGGGCATGGTGGCTCACATCTGTAAAGTACTTTGGGAGGCTGATGTAGGCAGATTGAGTCCAGGAGTTCGAGACCAGCCTGGACATAGTGGTGAAATCCTCTCTCTACAAAAAATAAAAAAATTAGCCAGGTATTGTGATGCATGCCTGTAGTCTCAGCTACTTTGGAGGCTAAGGCAGGAGGATTACTTGAGACTGGGAGGTGGAGGTTGCAGTGAGCCAAGATCATTCCACTACACTCCAACCCAGAAAACAGTGAGACCCTGTCTCCAAAAATAAATATATTTTGCTAATACGTACATAATAAAACACAATTTTGTATCGTCTTTCTAAAAGATACTGTCCCATGCTCATGGGATTTTGAACTTGTGTACATAATACATTTCTAATGGCATATACATTTGTATAACCCCTTTAGGAACCAATTTCTATAACACATTAAAAGCTATAAAAATGCATATGCCTTTTGTCCTCTTATATCTACCTCAGAGAATTTTCTCCAAGGGAATAATTCAGCTGGTTTTTATTAAATCATTACTATATTCTAAGAACCATGCCAGGCATGAGAGGTACAAAAATGTAGAGAAGACACTTAGGATGTACTCATGAAGGTGTCAAGTCATCTGGTGGAGGTTAGAAAAGGCGTCAAGGGAAGGAACTGCTTGAGGTGGCCCCAAAAGGATGAGGAGACTTAGCCAAGCATGTGCCGAGAGACAATGGTATGGTACATCACGCTTGTTTTGTTAATAATTATCTTAGCATGTCTGGGCATAGGATTCGTACAAGGAAATGTTGAGAAATGAAGTTGAAAAAACAAACTACATTAGAGAATGGTTTATATACAGGTCCAAGAACTTTGGAATTTTTCATGAAGGTGATAGGGAGCTTTTGGAGAACAACAAAGAGAAACAATCAGATTTAAATTTATCTGGTTTTGTGTAGAGGATGGCTTTTCAAATAGAGGTTGGCCAGTTTTGGAGTAAGAGGAGTTAGAGGAGCATTGTGGTAGTCCAAGCAAGGGATTTAGAGTGTCTGAGTTGAGGAAGAAGGTACAGTAGAGGAGAAATAAAATCAATATAGCTTTAATAGATTTGTGAAGAAAATGGGTTATATAATACATAGTTATTTGTGAAGGTAACATTTTAAACAACCTCATTGGAGAAAGACTAAGTTGGGAGAGATAGAAGTGAGGACGGAGTGGGGAAGAATAAGCTAAGCTTTTAATCACATGTTATAATCCATAGTATTATTGGTTTTGTTTTTTTATGTTAAGCATATAAAAAATTCCCTTCTTTTGGACACACATTTAGCAGTGGTTTTTATGGAAATACCTTCCTTTACCATACAGCTGTGTAAAGAACAAAATTTAACCAGCCATCTAATCTTTTTAACTTGAATACTGTGTTTGAAAAAATGCAAAAGCAGCAGGATTCTGTATATTAATAATAATTCAGGAAACCTTTATACTATGCTATTATACATATATAGATAGAAAGAAAGTAGAAAAGTATTTAGTTAAATGGAAGACTATAGTTGTCAGATCATTACAAACATTATATTTGTGATTTTCTTTATACTCTCATGATAAGACTTCAAACATGTCAAACAAAGAACAGAACTGTCTTCTTATTTCTCACATAAACCAGAGCATCTTCCCTCCCCTCAACCTCATGTTAGCCCTGTGTACCCTGAAAGGAAGTTGCACTTGACTGCCAAGTTGTCACTTTTAATACCTAACCATCTTGTTAAAGTCAGGCTCTTAATATTCTATCAAAGAAAACAACTTTTCCGTACTAGCAAAAAACCAAATTTTCTCCCCTTTTAGTTAGATTTTTATAAATCCTTAAAAGAAAACTTTAAGTAAAAGTGTTTGTGTGTGAGTGTGTTTGGGTCTTTGTCTTGAAGTAGTGTAAAATTTTATTTCAAATGAAGGTAAAATGAATTATGGCCTACAGTATAAAGACAGTTAAATAGCAACATAAAAGAAGACAAATAATCCCCATCAGCAGAGGTCTAAACAAAATGTTCAAATAAACCTGTTACTCTAAAATATGTAATAATAGTTTCTTGATAGTATTGATGCTAAAGAACTTTAGGATCCTGAAATTAAAACATGTTGAATTAACAAATTATATACCACATAGTGTATTATTGAGTGTATTTCTTTATTCTGTTTTACCATTAATAATCAATTTATGAGATTTTAAATTCCTGATTAAATGCATCTTCAAAGATAATTTCGAACCTCCATTGTAGAGTAAAAGTTTTTAAACAAGCTGTTTATTCTAAAAAAGACAAGTAGATATACCCTACAATCTATAATTTCAGTGTAATCTCATTTATATCTACATCTAATGATGTACTAAATGTGATTACATGGTAATTGAATAAACTTTCTTTTTTTTGAGACAGAGTCTCACTGTGTTGCCCATACTGGAGTATAGTGGCATATTCTGAGCTCATTGCAGCTTCGACCCCCTCCAAACTCAAGCGATCTTCCCAGCTCAGGCTCCCAAGTAGCTGGGGCTACAGGCATGCACCGCCACACCTGACTGATTTTTGTATTTTTTATAGAGACAGGGTTTCACCATATTGCCCAGGCTGCTCTCAAACTCCCGGGCTTAAGCGATCTGCCCACCTCGGCCTTGCAAATTGTTGTGATTACAGGTGTGAGCCACTCCGCCCAGCTAAATGAACTTCTTTCAATCCAAAATCTTTAAAAACAGAAAACTCATTAAAAACAGAAAATTGTTCTGACAATTTAATAATGTCAATTAAAACACAAATAAGTTAGAGAAATTGCTCATATTACAACAACTTATTTAAGGAAAGTTTAATTTTATAAAATAAATTTCAAATGAATAGATGATTAGAATAACCAAAATATACCTCTTTTTCTCTGACAATCTTCTTGATACACAGATGACTCTGCATGGTTTTCCTAGTGGGTTTTTTTGTAACCAGTAAGTAAACTACTAAGTAAATAATAAACTGTATTCCTAACCATTCGAGTTATATTGATATTTGATTGTTTAGTATTTGAAAATGTACTTTCCGACTATAGATTAAGGGATCTGTTGAAACATTTACTTCATCTACTTTCTATTAGTGAAATATAACCTTTTTATTTCATTTTCTTATATTCATGGCTAAGAAGGCAATTTGTTACTGAGTACTCAAATATCTGTGTAATAAGGCTGAGCACAGTGGCTCACACCCATAATCCCAGCACTTTAGGAGGTCGAAGCAGATGGATCACCAGAGGCCAGGAGTTTGAGACCAGCCTGGCCAGCATGGTGAAACCCTGTCTCTACTGAAAATCCAAAAATTAGCTGGGCTTAGTGATGCCTACCCGTAGTCCCGGCTACTTGGAAGGCTGAGGGCGAAGCAACACTTGAACCCGGGAGGCTGAGAGGCTGAGTTGAGATCAGGCCATTGCACTCCTGTCTGTCCAAGAGAGTGAGACTCCCTCTAAAAAGAAAATTGTGTAATGCATGATGATATGTAGTCTTCTTATCTGAGCTCATGATTTCTTTATTTTTATTTTTATTTTTTTTGTAAGAGATGGAGTTTCATTCCTCTTGCCCAGGTTGGAATGCAGTGGCATGATCTCAGCTCACTGCAACCTCTGCCTCCCGAGTTTAAGCAATTCTCCTGCCCCAGCCTCCCAAGCAGCTGGGGTTATAGACACCTGCTACCATGCCTGGCTAATTTTTGTATTTTTAGTAGAGACAGGGTTTCACCATGTTGGCCAGGCTGGTCTCGAACTCCTGATCTTATGATCCATCCACCTCAGCCTCCCAAAGAGCTGGGATTACAGGCATGAGCCACCATACTTGGTCCAGAATTTTTTTACATAAAAATGTTTGCCACTCATATACTAGTGTGGGCACATACTAATTATTCCACACAAAAAATCATTACATCATTTGCATGAGGCTGTAATTATATTTATCAGATAGCACTGACACTCATCCACTAAAGATGTAAACCATTGTTCTTGACCCAATGCTATCATTAGAGATATGAAAATCCATCTGGAGGAAAATTTAGAAGAAGAGCGCCAGATATTACTGCAACAACAAAAAATATGCCGAAATCGAGCACGTAAATATTTTGTGGAGTCAAATCGGAGAAAAAAGTAAGTAATTGCACTTTATTCAGAAGTATAGAAATTCAAAGTCAATATAAAGTAATAATTTCTCCACTTTGTAGCAATTTATGAATCTAAGTCATGGCAGTGTTATCTGTGAAACAATGATCAAGATTTGTGTGGCCTTGTAAATTTTATTATTGGTTTCCTTCCCAAAGCCACAAGGATGGTGGTATATTATCTAGTTCTCTGACCATAACTATCATTTTTTCTGTCATAGAACAGCTTATTGCATTGTCATATAAACTTTTTTAAAATGACTGTGAAATGTATTATTTTCTTTGTTTTTTGTATTATTTCATGATGATCTTAAAATTACAATTTAATATTTAGTCGCTATCAGTATATGGTTTGATTTGTTATTCACTTCTATGTAATTGTTCTATATCTGCCATTTTTCATTGGTTAAATCAGAAAAATTGAAAAAATAGAAGTAATGGTGTAAAAATTGGGAAAATAAGAAAAATGGTAGAAATACAAAAAACAGTAGAAGTGGTAGAAATGTTTTATAAATGAATGCTGGAAAAGAGCTTTCTAGGAAAAACTAGAAACTATAGTGAAGTAAGAATACAAATTGTTCAATCACTGCTTAACATTTTTCAGGATGTTTTTTAAATATTAGGTTTATATCAGACAGAGCAGTTATGCTATCTTTTAATGGTTGTTTTGCTAACTTGTTCATATTTCTACAATACAAGAAGAGCAGAAAATCCCTAGAGTTTATTAACTACATCACTGGGCATATATTGCAAATCCCATTGGGGGAATACAAAATTGTTTACTATAATTTTTGTCTGGCATTATGTTTCTCTTTAGATTAACTTTTTTATTGTCTGATGTAGTTGAAATTATTTGCTGAAATTTATTATTTTATTTTGTAATTTTATTTTGTATATATGTGTTTCGGTTTTTCTCCTACCTTTGGGCTCCTAATAACTATAAATGTTGCGTTCAATAAAGATGAATAATCATATGTTGAAAGGATAATGGACTTTGGAGTCAGAGATCTGGGAAATACTAGGTGTATGAACTAGAGGAAGTCTGTTTAATGTCTTTAAGCCTCCGTTTTCTCATTTATGATTGGCATTAATAACATCTGTTTCAAGGGATTTTTGTGTAGAGCAGAAAGGGCGGAAATAAAATGGAATATTTGAGAATACATGTAAAAATATCAGTGTCTAGCTCATAGACTTCTTGCTTATTTTTTATTCATAAATTAATGTTTGTCAATTGTTTTACAATAATCGACATGCTTTGTGTAATAGCAAGCCTTATATGGAGTTTGATTCATAAAGTTTCTATTTGTATTCTCTCATCAAATGTGATAATTTGATGTAGAAAATAACAGAAAAGAAATTTTGGGTTAAAATTCTAAGAGGCAGGACATTTTCCAATACAATTTTATTGTGTTTTATTTTTGTTACCCTAAAAGTGCAGTTTCAGCTTTCTGCATATGGCTAGCCAGTTTTCCCAATACTATTTATTAAATAGGAAATCCTTTCCCCATTGCTTGTCTTTGTCAGGTTTGTCGAAGATCAGATGGTTGTAGGTGTGTGGCATTATTTCTGAGGCTTTTTTTTTAATTGTACTTTAAGTTCTGGGGTACATTTGCAGAACATGCACGTTTGTTACATAGGTATACGAACGCCATGGTGGTTGGCTGCATCCATCACTACATCATCTACATTAGGTATTTCTCCTAATGCTATCCCTCTCCTAGCCCCCTACTCCCTAACACTCCCTGGTGTATGATGTTCCCCTCCCTATGTCCATGTGTTCTCATTGTTCAACTCCCATTTATGAGTAAGAACATGCAGTGTTTGGTTTTCTGTTGTTGTGTTAGTTTGCTGAGAATAATGGTTTCTGAGGCCTCTGTTCTGTTCCATTGGTCTGTATAACTGTTTTGGTACTAGTACCATGCTGTTTGGTTACTGTAGCCTTGTAGTATAGTTTGAAGTCAGGTAGAATGATGCCCTCCAGCTTTTTTTTTTTTTTTTTTTTTTTTTGCTTAGAATTATCTTGGCTATTTGGGCTCTTTTTTGGTTCCATTTGAAATTTAGGGTGGTTTCTTCCAATTCCATGAAGAAAGTCAATGATAACTTCATGGGGGTAGTATTGAATCTATAGATTACTTTGGGCAGTATGGCCATTTCACAATACGGATTCTTCCTAACCATGAGCATGGAATGTTTTTCCGTTTATGTCCTCTCTTATTTCCTTGAGCAGCGGTTTGTACTTCTCCTGGAGGAGGTCCTTCCCATCTTTTGTAAGTTGTTTTCTAGGTATTTTATTCTCTTTGTAGCATTTGTGAATGGGACTTCACTCAAGATTTGGCTGTCTGTCTGATATTGGTGTGTATGAATGCTTGTCATTTTTGCACATTGATGTTGTATCCTGAGACTTTGTACAAGTTGCTTATCAGCTTAAGGAGATTTGGGGCTGAGACAATGGGGTCTTCTAAATACACAATCATGCTGTCTGCAAATAGAGACAATTTGACTTCCTCTTTACCTATTTGAATATCCTTTCTTTCTTTCTCTTGCCTGATTGCCCTGGCCAGAACTTCCAGTACTATGTTGAATAGGAGTGGTAAGAGAAGGCATCCTTACCTTGTGCCAGTTTTCAAAGGGAATGCTTCCAGTTTTTGTCCATTCAGTATGATATTGGCTGTGGTTTTGTCATAAATAGCTCTTATTATTTTGAGATACATTCCATCAATACCTAGTTTATTGAGAGTTTTTAGCATGAAGCGTTGTTGAATTTTGTCAAAGGCCTTCTCTGCATCTATTGAGATAATCATGTAGTTTTTGTCATTGGTTCTGTTTATGTGATGGATTACGTTTATAGATTTGCATATGTTGAACCAGCCTTGCATCCCAGGGATGAAGACAATTTGATCATGGTGGATAAGCTTTTTAATGTGCTGCTAGATTCAGTTTGTTAGTATTTTTTTGAGGATTTTTGCATCGATGTTCATCAGAGATATTGGCCTGAAATTTTCTTTTAGGCCTATTGCACAACTCACATCCCAGAACTTTCCTTTATTGCTCTTAGTTTAATGGTAGAATAGATTAACAAAATCAACTCTTTTCCTGACATAATGTTGAATCATTTGTGCTCACTTTACTCACTTAACTGGTTGGAGCCATAATTTTTGCCTCCCATAGCATCCCTTGGTTGGTTTGTTGTTCTTTGTATTCCATTAGTTTGCAAGAGTACATCCTCAAGTTTCTTTCTAATATGCTTCTTTGTAGACCAAGCAATTTTAAGATACACACACACACATGCTTGATCCTGGGAGATGGAGGTTGCAGTGAGCCAAGATTGCGCCATTGCACTCCAGCCTGGGCAACAAGAGCATAACTCGTCTCAAAAAAAAAAAAAAAAAAAAGATACACACACACAAAGGAAATAAACTGGCTTATTTCTCTTTTGGTAAATAAGTGAATGGCATTTATTCACTCAACATGGAGTTAAGTGAGCACAAATGATTCAACATTATGTCAGGAAAAAGTTGATTTTGTTAATCTATTCTACTATTAAACTTTAGAAAATGGCAATAATCTGATTTATTGCAACTTCATAAGGCAAAGAAATTGAAACAAATTTTAAGAAGTAAAGAGCTCAAAGGGAGCATTCAGTTAGTTTTAAAACACTATAATTTGGGCACATAAAAGCTCAGATGATAAGACAAAATTTCTATATAATTAACTGGCAGAATAAGAGAAAAACACGACAAAATGGGGAAAATTGCACAGTGAAGAAGAGGGACGAATACCAAATAACAGATAAGGGACAAGTACTTTGGAATGGTCACTAAAATCTACAATAAACAAGACTCCTTAAATATCCTGGAGGCAGAAAAAAAGTACTTAGTGAAATATTTGGTGGACATGAAGTGTGGGATAGCTGCATTATCTGTTTATGAGAATTATAGAGTTTGGAGTTTCTCATAAAAGCATAAAAAAAGTACTTTAAGAGTAATTGGCTCAAGCCTATAATCCCAGCACTTTGGGAGGCCGAGGCGGGTGGATCACGTGGTCGAGAGATAGAGACCATCCTGGTCAACATGGTGAAACCCCGTCTCTACTAAAAATACAAAAAATTAGCTGGGCATGGTTGTGCATGCCTGTAATCCCAGCTACTCGGGAGGCTGAGGCAGGCGAATTGCCTGAACCCAGGAGGCGGAGGTTGCGGTGAGCCGAGATCGCGCCGTTGCACTCCAGCCTGGGTAACAAGAGCGAAACTCCGTCTCAAAAAAAAAAAAAAAAAAAAAAAGTCCTTTAAGAGTAATTAAGAAGGAATTATATGTTAAACAATAAGTCATATTTATTGAACCTTCATAGACATATATGCTATATGCCAAAAAATATAAATAGATTCAAATAATTTTACATATCGATTTAAACCTATCAATATCAATAAGTCTAAATATCTATGGGCAATACATCCTTATATATTTGTTTTTTTGTTTGTTTTTTGAGACAAAGTCTCACTCTGTTGCCCAGGCTGAAGTGCAGTGGCACGATCTTGGCTCACCACAACCTCTACCTCCTGTGTTCATTCTCCCTGCCTGAGCCTCTGAAGTAGCTGGGATTACAGGCACCTGCCACCATGCCCAGCTAATTTTTGAATTTTTAGTAGAGATTTGGTTTTACCATGTTGGCCAGGCTGGTCTCGAACTCCTGGAATCAAGGGATATGCCCGCCTTGGCCTCCCAAAGTGCTGGGATTACAGGCATGAGCCACTGCACCTGGCCATCCATACTATGTTAAAGAAAATTTGGATATTTTGAAGTTATCTTTGACTATTTAAAATGCTGTTATATAGGACAGTCTTTTATTCACTCAACTAACATTTACTAGGAAACTCCAAGGTTTCATGTTCCAAAGGACAAAAAAATAAAAAGCATGATTTCTGCCCTCAGAGTTTGACCATTCACTTATCAAAGGACATGACATCTCAGTCTGTGTCCAGTTTGGGGCTAT